GAACTCAAGGTCAACATCAGGGACTTTATAGGGATTCTAGTACTCTAACAAACCCTACGTTTCGGGGATAGGGATATGGAACGCATGGCCTCCGACACCCTCAACTCAATGGCTGCTTCTGCCACCCACACTCAAGAAGCAGATAATCCAGACCTGCAGATCTCATGCAGGTGAATGCAGACCCTATAAGACATGCAATCCCGGGCCCGGATGATGGTGATAAGCACCCAAGCCCTCCGAACCCCAAACTTACAAACCCTAAAGCCCTCAACCTTAAAAAGAAACCTAGAAACCTAAGCCCCGAACTCGAAATCCGGCGGTCCAAGTTTTGAGCTGCAAGGAAAAATTCCCCAGGGATCCGCACTCCAAAGGCATCTGCAGTGCTCTGCAGGGGCGAGAGGGTGCCTCTGTCCGGCGACGTGCCGATGCATTTTGTCGGGGTCGTTCCAAATGATGCCATCTCTCATGGAGTTTGTGCGGCTTGGGATTTGTCTGTGGCTCTATCCCTCGCACTCTCCCTCTCGCTCCCCCTCTCTCTCTCTCTCTCCCTCTCCTTCCCTCTCTCCCTGGCGTTCTATAATATGGGTATAACATGTATCTATATACGGGCCCAAACCTTTTAGTTTCACTTGCAGGGCTTCAACAGGTCTGTGTAGAGGGCGTCACAAGGGTCTTCCCCATTTGTTACACAGGGTCCCCTTTCGGGAGCACCCGAATGAATGCACCACTCTTGTCAGAAAGCATGGACTTAGGCCCGCAACAACGGCCAAAGTTTAGGAAACCTCGACCTACGCATGTGCAGAGTGCAGTTGTGTTCTGCCTCCACGGAACTTGCTAAGACCTACTAAGGAAGAACGGCCCCCAAGCAAAAGGCCACAGTCTTTCAAAACTCTGATACAAAGCTTCCTAAACCCTAAACCCTAAATCCTAGACCCTGAAGCCTAAACCCTAAAGCCTAAACGCTAAAGCCTAAACCTTAAACCCTAAACCCAAGCCCTAGGCCGCTATGGCCTGATGTGATGATCACGGAATACACCTGCCGGCAGAGCAGGGGCACTGCTGTGGTACACTTTCAGAGCCGATAGGGTTTAAGGTTTAGGGTTTAGGGTTTAGGGCTTAGGGTTTAGGGTTTAGGGCTTAGGGTTTAGGGATACACCATAGGCTGCTCCTCCCTGGCACTCTTTCGAAGGGACCTTTGCTGTTCGCAGACGGTTTTGGGGGCAGATGCAATGCCATCCAGAGACATTCTTTGCTGATTCCGACCTTTGTACTATCCTAACCCTAAGGGTCCATGTACGTAAATAGTAGAACATTAGCCCTAAAGTACCCATATAGGGACTACATTAAGGCCAAAGTATATACTAGTTGGGTACATGGACCCTTAGGGTAACCGAAAGGAATCCCAACATGGACCAGCCCCCACGTGCAAAGCATGCAGAGCGCTAATACGGAAACTTTAATGGTTGGAATGTGAGCTTTGTGGGTATGTCGTGCCACCAGAGCTTATAGGGACCACAAGGTCAGACACCCATAATTAGTATCTTCCGATGTCACTCGGGGCCCAAAGAAGCACCTAGACAAAACTAATAAGACTGGGATATCCCGTGGTCGCATCTTTAGGTAAGCCAACAAGGTAAGTAAGGACATCATCCCGCCCATAGGTTTAGGCTTTGGTGCCTTCTCGGTTCCTGAGAACCGCATTTTGCTTCAATGTCTGGGTAGGCATAGCCTCGCTACACCCGGAACCCTAATTTCGGAACCCTAGATGCGTAAAAGAGGCCGTGTGTCGTGCTTTGGAATGCTATGCCCCACCGTCCGGTCAGACCATGACCGAACCCTACAGCACGAAATGCTCAACCCTGCCACGCCTTAAACCCTCATCCTACGTTCAGGACCCCCCACACCCAAAACCCTATATCTGAAGCCGAGAAGGCGCCCAGCGCCTCCTGCTTCTGCAAGTCCCGCATGGCGACGGAGCAGGAGAAGCACCAGAGGTAGAGCGTCCGGGGAGTGGGCGCATCCCTTAGTTTAGGGTTTCTTTTAAGGGCTCCTTTCAAGATTCCTTTGAGGGTTCCTTCAAGGGTTCCAGTTGAAGGTTTAGGAAAGGCTCTGAAGGCGAAGGTTGCTTGAGAGCCGACCACTTCAGTCAGAAATGCTCTCACCAAAACGCCTCGCAAACACAATATCCTCACAAACAATTGCAGGTCTTGTGCATCCAACGAATATTTTCGCAAGTGAACTTGGCGAACCATCCTCGCAAACACAATATCCTCCCAAACCATTGCAGGTCGTGCGCATCCAACGAATATTTTCGCAAGTGAAATTGGCGAACCATCTCTACTGACACCGGCCCTCAATCCAAACAACACCAACATCTTCAGCACCATGACCATGACTCTTCAAGTCATGATCACACAGAGCCTTAGTTTGCAAAGGCTTCCTGAGCCCCTCCTGCACCCACTAATCCGCCACAGCTCAATGATCCTGATCCGTAAACAGTTATAAGTTGTAGGAGGCGCAATGAACATCTCATGTCTACTCCGTCATCCCGGGGTAGGGGGCACTCTGGAAATCCTCCGCTCAACCTTAAATTAGGGAATCATCCGTACATGGTCACGAAATTATAAACCAAATCTCCTGATCAAGGCTACCTGTAGCCCGCTCGAGTAAACTGGGTTGGCATTTAAACCCTCTGAAAAATAATTGTATAAAGGGCTAAACCCAAATAAGGAAAATAAAAACTGTCCCAAAAAGCAAGCTAGTAAAGCCTTTACAGAGATGTTTGGCCGCCTGCATGTCCCTAACCCTAAAGTCCCTAACATCACCCGTAGGATCCAGGTATTCAGTGCTTGGACCCTTCGCAGTGGTTTTAAACCAGGCTACATCTAGGAATAAAGTCAATGAAAACACCCTTTGCCCGCTTGGGGTGGTAAGGAGACCGATCAACAAGAGACATAAGCCGAGTGTAATCCTAAACCCTATTTGAACCCTAAACCCTAAACCCTAAACCCTAAACCCTAAACCCTAAATCTAGGAATCCTTTGACCGCGGTTAGAACCTTTTGGGGCCCTCGCGGGGCGGCACAGCCATCCGTCGTAAAGAAATCTACAGCCTGACAGCAGGGTGTAGGGATTTAGGGTTTAGGGTTTAGGGTTTAGGGTTTAGGGTTTAGGGTGTAGGGGTTGAAGGATCTAAGTGATCTAAGGCGTTGGGCTTAGAATAAGGGTTGAAGGGCGCTGTTTTGTTCTCTCAATTTCCTTCTTCAGGGAAATTGACGGAAAAAGAGGCAGGAGTGTGGAGCTTTGGGGGTCCATGCTTGAGGGCCATGGAAGCTTCTAGCAGAACAAGCTCCCCTATGTTGGGGCTACCGGGGCCACCCTGCAATGTCAGAAAGCAAGAAACCCCTGAAGCGTCCCCACGTAAGGGGACCCCTCGGAATCTACGGACCCTGAGCAGGAATCCAAAGTTGAAGAAACGAACCGAAACTCAGGGAGAACCTTGTGAAAAGTAACACCAAACCCGAAAACAAAAAACTTAAAAACCCTAAACCCTAACTTAAACCCTAAACCCTAAGCCGACTGCGTGGGTCCAACGATGTACATCTTGGGGCGGTTCCAGTTCGGAAGATACTTGGGAGAGTCTGGGGCAAAGGGCTTTCCGGTGTTCAGGGCTTCTGGCTCGACCTATCTTGTTGATGCTCATGAGTTCCTAAGGCTTTAGTTTACAGCCTGAGGGTTGTTAGACAAGTGTCTGCGGCTTTCGGTCCTATAGCTTCTGACGGGGTCCTCATGTCTCTATGGGGAGCATGAAGCTCTCATGGAGCCAACCGGATACATACGACTTCGAACCCAAGGTGCGCAGCGGCAGAACTACTTCGCCGTCTCCGACGGCTTGGGTTTGGGCAACCCTAAACCCTNNCCTAAACCCTAAACCCCAGGCCCTGTACTCTTGGTTGGGAGGCTTTAGGTCTTGCTTATGCAAGCCCTGCATCCAGCCCCCTGGGCTCCGTTGCCATGAAAGCCGGCTCTCAATTCGCGCCTGAAGCCAGAAAGCTGCAGAATCTGGAACCTCAACCCTAAACCCGGCATGCACCCTGAGCCCTAAACCTCAGGCCCTAACCTAAGGCCCGAAACCCTGAAACCCCAAAGCC